AAAACAATGCTTGCATTCTGAGTGGGACTAAGAGAATTACTATTGTAAATTTTGTATTTAGCAGGTATATTATACGACGTTGCAATACCTTGTATGCAACAAATCTTGTCTTTCAAATATTGATTTGTAAGGACATGATTAATTGGTTACAAGATTTCACCATGAGCTGACATCGGTTAGTGGTCGCGTTATGTGGTGAGTTGGCAGAATTTAAGATTCATGTACTGGCCATTAGCTCGGGTCTCAGTGGTTTAATGGTCTACTAGCTCGCCTTGTAACCAGAAGGCCCTGGGTTCGAACCATGGTGGTGGGTGCGTCCTGTTGAAAAGTTCCAACCTCGGACTAAACGGCTGGCTGTCCAGTACTCCGAGGTTGTTTTCCAATGGTTCCCTAACCGAAGTCAGCTGATGATGAAATCCCGTAATAAATCTTGTCTTTGCAGTATCAAGTGACATAAATGAATTGGTTTATCATCTAACTTATTTTCCAGTTTTCATATGCATTGCTAAGTGAAAAATCTAAGCATGAGTATGAAAGGCTAGTTCATCAACCGTAAATTTGTATGGTATCTGATTCTGGTAAGATACTTCACTATATTCAACGGGACTACTGTGTTGTGTGCGATAACATATTTCAATAATGGAAATTACAATCAGAAGACAGGATAAGGTCACATACTTTTGATCACAAATGTATTTATGTATTGTACAGGTTACGTATGAAAGAACCACACATCAGATAATCATAAGGTTAGGTGTAAGGTGCTGAATATTGAATGAAAGTCGGTCAGTGATGTTGAAAATCTTCACAAATGAAATAACTGTGACATCCATTTGCAAGTTAGACTGCTTTTAGCACAAACCACGGGGATATCTGATTCAATTTGGTTCTTTTAGGGGAATAACGTTACTTATCTTAATTCTTTCAAGGTTAAGACTCTTAACGCCATTTTTTACAGTCACTCACGATAAGTCATCATTTATTCCCTCTGAACTTTCGAATATTTACGATAAACTTCGTTTAAGGTTTCTTTCTACGCAAGTATATCTCTTTAGAATAACACCTGTTTCATGTCTTCTATTCGATGAACTCATGATTTTCCATACTATGTGGTACACCGATTTATCTGTATGTTATATGTGAATCTTGTTAACACATTAAATGTCACCATATTCCACAGAGTTTCAATCATTTATTGTGGAAATCAGAATCGCTCTCTTTTCAAACTTAGTGAAAAAGTCTCCATCTGAATCTACACTCTGCCAAGGCAATGTACTTACTAGGAATTTGAGTATCCTATCCTTAGTGTTGACTGATTAAAGGTGATCAATATTAATGCCATTGTAGAAAACTCATTTTCTCTAGAAATAAATCTCAATGAACAAATGATTCCTTAATTATTTTACACATAGTGTTCAATCTTATAGTCCCAGTTATTGATAAACTGACAGTCAGTCGTTATATCAAATTTAACTGCCGTTTTGAACTATGGAGTATAATGACTATTTGTTGTCAGATGACCAGATATTTTATTCATGAATCTCTTATAGACAGTTGCCTGGATTGTGGAACATTGTATTTCAGTCTCTGAAGTACTGAAAATTTCCTTCAACATCCTTACTATTCATATTCCAAAACAAAAGCATAAAACATAGTTTATAAAATTTTCCGAGATTATTAATCTTAACAGATACAGACGGCATAAGATGGTTGGAGGCAGTCGGCAGGAAGCCTCAGACCTAGGTTTCGTGCTAGTTCGCACACGGCTTCAGAATTCAGTAAACTATTAAAAAAGACTTCAAGTAATAAACTGATATTACTTTGATTGAGGTTGAAGCAAGAACTTTCATTTCAATAATATTTGAGAAAGTAGGATCATTTTTCAGCTGACGGGGACTCTGAGAACTAAACTTCAAAACGCACCTTTAGATTAACTTGATATTACACCTGTGTTATTACGTATTTTGCGTATCTGTTATGGAAATCAACGAAACACAGTAGTTCGTTAAATATAACATGGACTCTCTAGCAGGGGTTTTCACTTCAGCTGAAATAGAATGGAATTACAGGACTGTTTGAAATAACGTGAGTTCCGGACTATGCGTGTAGCAGGTGTCTACCAGTAGTGTACAGCTGGCAAAGTGGCGGAGATATCACCGGTATCCAAAGCCCACGACAACTAAAAAAATTATATCAAGCCATTGGTCAAGATTATCAGACCGTACAATGTAATTGTCGATAAAAAAAACAGAAAATAATTAAAACTTAACAAAAACTATCAAACAAATGAATGGAGAATATGATCAGCTTTAATAGAAAGGCGAAATAGTAAGCAGTAAAATTTCCTGCAGAAGCCCAAAGGACAAGATCTCGCATCCGGCCACTTCTGTGTGGGTATATTAGTTTACCTGTCGAAGCAGAGCCAGATATATTAGTCGTTAAACGTGAATCCTGCCTAAAAGGGTTGAAGAACACTATACCACTTGGTTGCAGAAAGGTAGTAGTGGTTTAACAAGGAGTGCGATAATCGAACACCTTGTCAACACTGGTCATTTGATCTCAACAAATGCTTCCTTCAGAGTAATCTACAAAATGAACAATAACCTGGCAAAGGTTAATACGCTTCCACCTTCTTTACGCTTCTGAAGCTTTAGCCACTCAGTTAGAAAAACCGGAGCTCTGTATTCAAAAGAAAATTATTCAACCACTTCTACTATCATGGTAAAAACCTTGTTGGTTTCTACTCTCTTGATTTTCGTTTGTATGTTTGTTTCGTCTTACTCCTTATAACTCTTTTACTTCTTTAGGACTCATACATCACTCCATATTTTCCTACGTTTCTATGTGGATCCTGGTTAAATCTCATTCACTAAGTTGTTCATCTTATTACGTAACCCTAATACACTTATTCAACCCCTCCTATGCATTGACTGTTATTAGCAACTATGTTTGTAACAACTCATCACTTTTGTTACTACTCTCTTTGATGAAAAAAAATGGTGTGTGAATGCGACTGTACAGTTAAACAGAAGAATAAATTCACCGAAAACAGCCTCTTCACTGAACTACTTGTCTTGTTTGTTTTTTATTAATGGTCGGTTGGGAATGCTTTTCGAAGTGAAATTTTCAAATGAAACATACTCAATTCAAGATTATCTATCATAAGAAAAAGTTACGTGAGATAGTTTTTAGAAATTTCAGTGACAAAGGAAATTGATCGAAACAGATTAAAACCATAAATTCCAAAACATCTTCATACTATCGGCAATAATGACGTAAATGGTACTTCAAGTTTGTTAGTAACGATTACATAAGTTATCTTCGCTCGTTCAAGTGATTTCTTTATGTGTAAGTGTCTTCTGTCTTATCGTATTTTCAAACTTTGGTATATTCATATGAATAAAGCTTGCCTAAAGAGAACAAGTTGAAGAAAGCTGTCTCTTCAACATCTTCAAAAAGAAAAGTTTACAGAATAAATGCCATCTGTTCAGATACTGATTATTACTTTTTATCGCATCTCCTTTCAGATAACGATGAATACATAGAAAAAGTGTTTATTTCAGCCTCAATATGGACTGGATTAGTTGTCATATCCTCTATGTTTGTTTATTTAACTGGATTTAATTCAAGGGAAAGTGTTATTTCTGCACATCGGCATGTATCATTGATACACAAAAGTTTGTTTGACAAAAGATTCATTTCTTACATTTATACTAAAGTCAATTATTTAATCTTTGTTTCGAAGATGAACAGTTAGAGCTATTAACGGTTTTTAACCTGTGACCGGGGTACCTAATCTGTCATATGCTCTGATGGTGTTCTCGTGACTTTTTTGCCAGATCTGCCAAGAGTGATGGTATAGTACGCGACCTAATGGTTGTGTGTGCAGGGTTTGTAGAAGGCTGTGTGCTATGAACCTGCGCGATAGAATGCTCGCCAACCACGCCTCATGTGGTTCGGGGTTCGATCCCCCAGGCCAACGCACTCCTTTGTTTGACTCTCTAAGCCTCTAATAAGACTGGTAAAGAGGAAAGATTGGGCATGAGGCTAGCAACTCCATTCCGTGAAAGTAAACACCACTGCTACCAAAACTTCAAATTTCTAGCTTGATGGCACCCTATGTTCTACTGGGAACGTAAAGGAATAAAAACAACCTGTAACCATAAATAGGCAATGATTTTGGATGTACCAGTGGATTTTACCATTTACTTTTCTTGAACAATCATGCCAAACACCTTAGTCATTAAGCGGTTACATCAGAGGTACAATGGGATCAAAGGGAAGGCTTGTGCCCACTGAAACTGCTTAATGTAACTGAGGATACAGGCTGTCTAATATCTGTTTGTAAGACCTCCCTTACAGTTACACTTATAATAAAGGATTAGTAGCGCGTATTTCTTTTTCCAGTCTGACTACACTTAAAGTTATTACTTCACCAGTTTCAGTTTGACATGCATAAAAAAAATATCCGATGAATATCCAGTGTTTTGAAATAGATTTCAAGCATGAAAATAAATTTTAATAAATAAGTAATGAGAAATAATTTCTCACTTGTAACACTAAAACCAGTGATAACTCTCTGACCAGAAAGAATACAGAATAGCATTGAATAAATATCAGGTATTTTCTGTGCCCTTAATCTTTACTAAGTATCTCCTGTATAAATTATTCATTTCTCTGGCGATCCTACTGGAAAGCAGAACTTCCAGCTTGAGTTTTTATGCAAGGTACGGTTGTCAGCCTCATTCAGCCAACGTTTCCTCCTTAGAAAGCTTACTACCAGCTGAAGGAGGTTGAAGACTGAATCTGCTGGTATTCGAACGCTGACCAACTGAGGTACGGCTGGAGAGTATTCTTCCACTGAACCATCAGTAGACTACGTAAATAATTACCAGGATGAAATTATGTATAATTTCTCATTTCTACAATTATTGATTTTCCCTACTAAATTTTCTTTCTATTCAAGTAAACTTCATCAGTCATACAGAAAATAAACTCACAATTCTAGAACAAGTGTAACTTCATTGTCAAGATGATAAGCATCATATAACTGAATTAATCTTGGATGTCTTAAAGTATTCATAATGGCTATTTCATTCATTACACTGTCCATATCTTCTTTACTAGCAATTGGTACAAATTTAGCGGCAAATTCTCGTCCAGTTTTTATTTCTTGACATCGTTTCACTTCACCAAATTTTCCACTGAAATCAAACAAAAATAAAAATGTCAATTGAAAATATGTTAATAAAATAAATAACTTAAAAGGGTAAAAATTTACAGATATTTCAGTAAGCTTATTTACAACTTCTGTTATATATATATATATTCAGCAGTACGCACTCACCACCAGGGGTCGAACCCAAAACCTTCTGGTTAAAAGGCTAGCGAGCTCATAGACCATTAAGTCACTGGGACCCGATCCAATGACACATTAATTCTAACTTCTACCAATTCATGACATAGCGCAACCACTTCGCAGTGTCTAGCGTTTTGGTTTGGTAGTCCATCCAAGAGAATCGAGTGGTATTAAAGCATTGCGGTTTATATATTTATTTATTTCGTTACAATATGTCACAAATTTAATGCCGAAAATTTCGGAAACTTCTGAATAAAAGCACTAGGGAAGCTTTTGGGGAATCTTAGGTTAGGAAGAGTGTTATCCGATTAGAATATCACTTAATGTACTTGGATAACTCAGACTAATCCACAAAGATCTACAGAAATATCAAAACTGATCAAAGAACACAAGTGAACAGAGTGACTAAGGTTTTTAATGAAAAGAATAATCGGATGACTTCGATAAGACCATAAACCGCGTGTAATCAAAATCCTGAGTCACCAAAATGCGTTTGATTGAAACAACATGGGGAAACATCTGGTGAATATTCTCTGAAACGACAAAAAGCTGAAAGCCAATCTAATAGTATTCTAGTGATTTTTTGATTGCACACTAGTCAGTAACTAGTGTAATGCGTCTAGTCCTATCTTCGCTGCAGACTGAATTCTGTCAGTCAAGCTTGCAGTGTGGCCACCATGCTAGGTGGCTCGCCATTACGGTGCACTGTGAATTGTTGGTATTAGATGGTTGGAGGCAATCGGCAGGAAGCATTGGACCTAGGTTTCGTGCTCATCAGCAAGGCGTATCTGCAATCTTGAAGGAACTCATGTCTCTTCTGGGATTCTAACCTGTGTCATCCAGTGCCACCTGCAATCAGAGACGTTACCACTGAGCTATTCGGGCTCGCGATTGACCTGCTGTAGGACTGTATTGGATATTTTTGATTGCACACTAGTCAGTAACTGGTGTAATGCGTCTGATGATATAACAACGGTACAACAAGTCAAGACACACCAATCCAATGAATTCAACAAGTCTGATAAATTACAACGAACTAACTTCTTAGAGTACAGAAACTGAAATATTTGAATTATAAAATAACACAACAGTGAACCAAAGCAAAGAATTCCCAACTTCTGAATGATCAAAAACAACCAGCTATTCTGAAATGGTAATATTACTTGTAACAATCATCTTTAGCTTTCAAATTATATAAAGTATCTGCCATGTGAGAAAAAAATCTAGCTGAGTGATCACCGTAACTAGTATGTTAACCTAACGAGTTACACATGTTCTTCTTTACATTTCACAATATGCTCGTTGTATTCTCCAACCAAAATACTATCAGAACAACATGTAATTGCTTTTCCTTTTTTTACAAAAAAGTACCATATGCGGACACTAATCAGTTTCTGCAAAGTACATTTTATTTATATCTTCATGGTATAAAGAATATGTATATATACTACGTATATACAGCACTTAATTACGAGATTTTCTTTAAATGCTAATTTGGCGTCTTTACTTTCTTTCTTACTACAATGACATGTAATTGAACAATGCAGCTAGAAGGCACGTGTTTTATCACTTAAAGTAACTCGCATCAATGTTGCCTCAGGCTAACTTACTGATAAAGTATAAAAAGGTTTTATTTATGCAAAAATCAGGTGAAGAATTTCTCATTCTTTAAAACAGATCATTTCTTATGATTGTTATTCAACCAAAAGAACAAAGTTATATTCCGACTACTTGTTAAGGCATCGAAAGATGATAAAGAAATACTTTTATTATCTAGTTGTAACGAGATAATTCTTTGAAAAATCCCTCCTGAATGACCTGTTTACAATAACGATACTTGTTTGCATATTTCAACTAACCTAGCCATTGTTATCCTCTATTCTTCTAGACTGAATATCATTGTTCTTGCGCTTGTACATCACCTGTTGACTTGATAATTTTATTTCTTGGAAGGTTTCGTCATGAGCTGACATCATTTACAGAACCATTGGAAAACAGCGTCGAAGTACTGGACAGCTGTCTCGTCATAGTTTGGGACTCTTCGTCAGTACGCACCCAACGCCACTGTTCGAACCAAAGACCTTCTGGTTACAAGACTAGCGAGCTCGTAGATCGGTAAGCCACTGGGACCCTATCCAATGGCCCATGAATTCTAATGGTTCCAATAGTTGTCTAACTGATGTCAACTCATGATGAAACCCTCCAACCAATCACACACGATCCCTACAAAACCAATGACTTTCATTTGTCTTTGTTCTTCTTTAATCCTTAATCTTTATGCTTCTCTTTGCAGTGGTGTGATGATGTTATTAATGTCTTATTTTGCGATCGTAATTTTGTTTGAATAAATTCAACTTAACGCCCCGGGGATTTTGGTTTTGGACTGTCAGAGGAAAGTGTTTGGTGTGTGACAGAGTTATGGTCCTATCTCATTGAGAGTAATTTTCTTGTTGATTCTTAGATAGTCGAAAATTGCGTTTTGTCGATTTTATTTTAATGTACAGTACTTGTTTTGTATTTAAAAAAACTCTTGAATTGTATAGCTGCCTAATGGAATTGTTGAGGTAATTTTGCTTTTATGATATGCTATAATTACTTAATATTAACACCAATTTTATCACATGTCTTTTTCGCTAATGATGGAACATTTTGGGATTGTGAGTCACTTGAGGAAGTTCGGTTAGCTGTACAAAATAAATCATAAATTCATCTCCTGCTTTCAGACTAAAATACTTCGGTTTCGGTCGTACATAACACACTAGTAGTTGAGTGAAACTTGCTAGTTGAAATTCTTAATTTGTCTATCTCATTGTAAAATGATTAAAAAGACGTAAGATGGTATATCCATGAAAATGGCACATTTTATAGTTGAAATTCTGCTTTTAATTAGCGTTAAATTCCTTCCACCTCCATTTCTTCCTGCTTATTTGTTTCTGTTTGGCTTGCTCATTGCTAGAGATCCCTGTTGCTTATCTTTTCTAGTCGGCCATCTGATCTTCAGCCGAGGATTGAACGAAGACAGCTGTTGATGAAGGTCTTTAGTTTGTTTGGAGTGCTCTTCGTGACGCGCCAAGTCTCTGGTTCGTACAGTAAGTAGCACCGACTTCACATTGGAGTTGAAAATCCGGATCTTATTTTTGATGCTGAGTGCTGTTGACCGCTACACAGACATGAGAGTAATGAAATCTTGCCTTGTTTTCCCGATCCTCGCTTTGATATCTTCGTCATTTTCGTCCGCCTGTAGTTGAAACGACGCTTACCAGGTAGGTAGGTAGAAGAGGTTGCTTTTTCAAATTTCTCCCATTTCTATCTATGCTGAAGATCAAATGGCCAGTCGGAAATAATTAGTAACAAGAAACCCTGCAGTGGAACAAATCAACCAAGAGCCGATTGCTCGACAAATATATAGGAGAAAATGAGAATGGACTGGGCATACATTGAGGAGGCCATCGAGTGGCATCACGCGCTCTGCAGAACATCACTCTAGTGGAATCCCAATGGAAACCGACATATGGACCGTCAGTGCAAGAGTGACATGAAGGAGATCACGTGAGGAGGAGATGGAAGATTGTAGGCAACCGTGGACCCAGCCGAAGGAGACAGCACGAAACAGAACAAAGTGGGGATGTATTGTTGAAGCCAGGGGAAACCAGGGGTATAATAATAATTAAATAATAACGTATTGCAAAGCATTGATACTGATTTGAATATTCCAACTAGATTTGCAATTACTACCCCATACTCTTGATCTATAAACCATAGTTCTCATATTTGTATATCTCCTTTTCACCTAATCCATATTATTTGGCTTAGTTTTTCGTTGGTCTCTTTGTTGTTATGTGATGTTTTTGATATAAGTATGTTGTTTACATTTGCGATTTGCTTTCAGTAAAGTCAGTGCTACTTCGCGGAGTGATTCCTCGACCTTGGAATGTCTACGGGAAGCGCATTCTGTTCTGTTTAATTCTTACAGACAGAGTTTCGATCAAATCTTGTTGGGGTTATTCTTAAAATTGTGTTTCATTGTACAATACAAATTTTATAGCTGAGAAACTTGTGGACTGTATAGCTTCCCGAAAGGAAGTTTGGCAAGCTATACACAAGAAGAAGCATCAAATGGTTTTCTGTGTTCAGAGCAAAATACTTGGGTTTTATGTCACCACCAGTAAATATTCCTGACAGGCTAGTATGCATCTTATTATTCAGTTGGACTATTGAGTTGACACTCGTTTGTCTGTAGGAGGAAGCCTTTATATGTCTATTTTTACCAAAGCTAAAGTATATGTGAATGCAATACGACATATACTATGGATCATGTGAGATAATCACCATTCCGACGAAAATTCATCACATGTAAGTGTTTACAACTTCAGAGTTGTAAACTTTTATCATTTATTATTATTTTTTTATTCCTTTACATTCCCAGTGGAACATAGGGCTTCAAGAGGCAGCTTTGAAGTTTCAGTAGCAGTGGTGTTTACTTTCACATGCCCAATCTTTCCTCTTTACCACTCTTATTACTGGCTTAGTGAGGTAAGTGAGTGCGTTGGCCGGGGATCGGACGCCGAACCACATGACGCGTGGTTGGCGAGCATTCTACCACAGTGCCACCTACGCCCAAGCTGTACACTAATTACTCTTTTATTCCTGAAAAAAAGAAGAAAATTGTTGTGGGGTAAATAAATTCTTATTCAAAACAGTAATCATATTCCCACTACGATAATTTCTTTTCTACGCAATTTTTTGTTTGTTATGTCTACTTTATCAAAGTCAAGTAATTTTGTTTATCTCAACAACAACAAAAATCTGTTCTACCTTAATGCACCAGAATTTTCAACACATTCACCTAGATTTAGCGAAACAAAATCTAATCATTACCTCCCTGGTAGTTGTGAATTTATAATATTCTTAAATTAGTTCTTTGTTAAGCCTTTTTGCGAAGTTTTAATCTATGCAAGTAGAATTTCTCTATAGTATTTACGATTGTCCATACATTGGACATAACTGCTTGCATGCTAACTTATTTTCTGATAACTATTTATCGTTTCGGACTAAAGGGATAAAGATTTGTTCATAATTTGCGTTACATGGATGTATTATGTATTCAGCTGAAGAATCTAAGGTAAACGATGATGGCCAAGTGAACATATCCGTTTTCTAGTTTGACTGATTGCTGACATCAATTGCAGAAGCACTGAAAACCAGTGAGTAATGGGCAGTTGTTTCATCCTGGTTTGGTACTCTTCAGAGATCGAACCCAAGATATCTAAATTATAGCTGTACTGCCAACTATTATCACTGACCAGCATCGGATTCACAATTGACACGGTGGACTCCACCGACTCCTAGTACTCTCAGAGATGTCAGCACATGATATACTTGAAACCAGTCGAAACTCTGCAAACCGACACAATATTATTTACTGTGTCACTACTGGTTGGTTCTGAAGAGGATTGCAAGCATTCCCAATAAATTTATATATAAAAACAGACTAATTATTTCATTTAGAATAAAAAATCACAAAATAGTCTTCATATTTTACAAAACTTGTTATTTATGTCTTCCATGAGGCTAATTCGTCCCAATATACAAGCTATTTTGTAAATACGATGGAGACGATTTGTAGGTTAGATCGATAATATTAACGTAATTGTGTTCTCTGAGGTGGATGGCTTATTCGCGAAGCTTTCATTGTCTTTCTAGACAACGTCTCCAGCGCATACTGTGTATGTTTGAGTAGATCTTGGTTTTATCAGTCAATCGATTTTCGTGTACTCATTAGTGAATAAAATATGAAGAGTTGTAACTTCACAGATTAGTCAGTAAATTCAGAATCAAATGAAATAGTATTGCTGAAATTTTCTGAGCTAAATGCAGGTCTACAACTTCTTAATGATACAGTAAGAAATTGTCAGTGATAGATTACAATGCGAGCTCGTAGACCATTGAGCAGCTGAGACCTGATCCAATGGTCCTTGAATTTTAGCTTCTGCCAATTCACGACATAGCGCGACCATTTCGCAATGTCTTCTTCGATGAATTACTGTAACCAGAAGGTCCTGGGTTCGAATCCCGGTGAGTTCGTACTGATGAAGAGTCCCAAACTAGGACAAAACAGATGACTGTTCAGTACTCCCAGGTTTTCCAATGGTTCTCTAACTGATGTCAGCTCATGATGAAATCCTCCATGCAATCGAACAAAATCCCTACAAAACCAATACTTGAAGATTACAATGTGTCAAAATGTCTACTCCCTTAGCTTACGAATCAGACTGTTAGACTTATTCATGAACCTCAATAATTACAGGACAAACATATCAGCTACGATTCTGTGTAACATTTCTGTGCAGTTATTTTTCAGGTTATAAATCGCTTTAGACGAAATCGACGTACCACAGAAACACAAAACACTCACATGTAAAATCCCCTACAAGATACAAATTGGTATTCAGTATTTAAATCAATAACCTTCATAGAAACATGAGACCAAGATTTCAGTGAAGAAAATTCTCCTTGAGATAATTTTATTTTTATATTTTCCCGATGACATGTAAGTAGACGATGCTGAAGGATGTATCAGAACCTGTGAACAAGATTCAACGAAGTTTACTAAAAGATACACGAGTGTAGTTGTCATATGTAGCGGAAGCATAGGCTGTACATAGCATTAAGCTAAATTTTTGCATACAAAAACCATCTGTAAGAATCTGCTTCATTACCTTAGACCTAATTTTATCATTTGGCTCAGTAAACTTCGTTCTACGTATTTATTCCATTTCGTTTCATTTTGTCTTGTTTTACTTCAATTTTCATTATCACATTCTAACACTTAATTTAATTTTCGCTCACAGTAGTTCACTGATCTTATTTTCCCATCTTTTTTCATTCGACCTTGTAAATTCACCTTTTCTAAATGTACTAAATCTTTCTGTAAATATTAACCCTAACAGGGTTTAACCTTTCCTGGTTTATTCATATTTCTAATCCACATTGTGATTCGTAATCACACGTCAGTATTATCATCTACTGTCAGCTTTTAACATTCATACCTATCAAACATCCTCATTATTAGGTATAATGGGGAAGATTTGTAACTCTGGTCAGGGATTTTGGCACAGTTATGTTCTCTGAGCTTATTGTCTTTTTCCATTTCACATATTGATATGTTAGGACGGGGGGAGACATTTTATGAATTCGTGTTTTTCACGTGGTCTGTAAACAGGGCATCTGATCTTAATCTATATTAGAGGTCACGACATTGGATTCTTATTTGCAATTCAGATAAACAACATCGTCGTTCGTTCATTTCTGTTAACAACTTCATCTTATGCTGCCACCCTGATGACATTTACGGATCACAAGGGTGAATAGTGACCCATAATGTCTTCAATTCTAACAAGAAACGATTATATAATTATGGAGATGAGATCATGTCAAAGAGAGTTTCCAAATTGGTTACAGGATTTCATCATGAGCTGACATTAGTCAGAGAAACATTGGAAAACAACCTCGGAGTACTGGACAGCTGTTTCGTCCTAGTTTGGGACTCTTCATCCGTACGAACTCACCGGGGTTCGAACCCAAAACCTTCTGGTTATATGGCGAGCTCGTATACCATTAGGCCACTGAACCCGATCCATTGGCCCATGAACTTTAACTTCTGCCGATTCACGATATAGTGCAACCTCTAGCCAATGTCTTCGGCGAGTATTTGTCCTCACACCCGACCTGCTGCACCCTACTGGTCACGACTTGAATATTAGAGTTTCCAAATGTTGGTTTGCAGGGATTTTGACTGATCATAGGTTTGATTATGATCTGATGTCAGTTAGAGAAGCACTGGTAAGCCAACAGGGAGCACTGGACATCTACTTCGTCCTAGTTTTGGAATTTTCATCAGTACGTGACCATCGGGGCTCCAACCCAGGACCATTAATTTACCAGGCGAACTTGCAGACGTTTCAGCCACTGACACCCGATTCACTGGCCAATGAATTAGTGACAAAATCCTCCAACCAATCGAACAAAATCCCTACAAAGACCAATACTTGAAAATTAATCTGATGCTTACTAGTGATTCGCCTTTTTCAGGCAGTTATCTGGGGTTCTGGTCGGAAGCCATGACCAGTAGGGTACAGAAAGTTGAGGGTGAGATAGCAACTCACCGAAGAAGACACTGCGAAGTGGTCACGTTATGTCGTGAATCGGCAAAAGTTAGTATTCATGGACCATTAAATCGGGTCCCAGTGACTTAACAGTCTACGAGCTCGCCTTGTAACCAGAAAGTCCTGGTTTCTAACCCTGATGGTGGGTGCGTACTGCTGAAGAGTCCGAAACTAGACCGAAACAGATGGCTGTCCAGTACTCCCAGGTTGTTTTCCAGTGATTCTCCAACTGATTTCAGCTCATGATGAAATCCCCCAACCAATCAAACAAACAAAATCCCTACAAAAACCAATACTTGATATAAATATCACAATCAGCGGACAATGTCATCAGCGAGTAACTTCTCTCTTGCCTAACTTGAAAGACCTAGGTGGTGAGGACTTTCCACTAGGATTTGTTATCGCTAAGATCTTTGATTTGATTTAATATTTTCTAAAGTAATCTCTTTTGAAAACGAAGTTTGATAATTAATTCCATTTCTGTTTTCACTACAAATAGAAGCATTTTAAATATTCTTTTTGGTTCAGCAATTTCGTGTTTCACTGAATTTACCAGTGATGCAGGTGGGTGATAGGAAAAAAGTATCATTAAAACACTAAGACTAATTAGGTAGGATATAAATATAAGTTCCAAACTGATTTTAATAAGGCTATGCATATTATAAACTTGAACAAATACAAAAAACAGCAACAATGAAAAATGTAACAAGATCATATTAGGCGAGTTAAAATCAGCAAATGTTGTTAGAAAAGTACAAAAACAAACTAAAATTTACCTTCCTAAGTATACGCCTATTGTATAATAGGATTTAACATCTGTATTTTTTCGTAGAGTAACATTTTTAGTCAGCAGGAATGGATCTGTGTCTTGATCTTCTGAAAGATGAAGAAAAAAAAAGTGAATTAATTAGATACAATCTGGAAAAACAGTATGCGGTGATTTGTTAAATTTGATTTTGAAAATCTCGTCGTCCTCTCTACCACTACTACTACTACTTCTACTACTATGGCAAAATAGGTAAATGATTGGATAACTTTACACACATTCCAGTTTTCATGAAACATTACAGATTTTGTTATGCACTGAGATCAACTAAAGTGCTATTATTAAAAACTAAGGAAAACAGGAGAGCCGTTTTATCCTAATTTAGGGCTCTTCAATCCTGCTCACCTAAAACCAAATCACAGACCGAACCTGTGACATTCATACGACAAAACTAATGCATTAATTATTCTGCCTATGGGATGGAATTGAATTTTAACCTCTAACTCTATCTGGAATATAAGATTTTCAGGCCACGATCGAGACCAGCTCATTGATTATTCCATTCGGTGACTAATGAATTCTAACTTTAGATCGAATCATATCGCAGAGCGTTGAAGGATCAATAAAATCATGAAAATCTAAACAATTGTTACACTATAGTTATAGATTATTTCTCAACCTCAAGTTCCTATGAGAAATTTTTAGTTTAGTTCCCCTGATAACACAGTGAAGGTATCACAAATTAGTCACTTTGTTTTATGTATAGTTCAGCGTTTCTTCTCCCAAACTTTTAGTAATTGATCATCAATTGCTTCTGAATATTATTTTATTGTGAATAAATTCATATCAGATTTTCGTAAAGATTTAAACACTACATTTTTAATTATTTCATTTATTATTTTTATTATTTATTTTATTATAGCTTGATTCCACATGGTATTTTGGTAAAAGTATGGAATTTTCAGCATGTGCTATCGGTAGCCCAAATTTAGCAAGCTGACCATTAATATCAGATGTGCGTCAGTCGGGGACAGTACCCCGCATCATGTGCATGGTCGGCGATCGTCCTAACCATTATGCCACCGACGCACACTGACATATGGAAAATTATCTAGTAAAAAAAGAGGAGTTGAAAAATAATTTAATAATTCTCATTGTAACATTAAGAACACAATATTCAGCAAAGAGACTCTTTTCAACGAATTTATTATCAGGTTGAACAATCGAATATATACGGTTTTTAAGAAATTATATCCCGTGGTGAAATTGAAACAGAGATGTGAATACATGAAATAATACTAATATGAAATTCATGAGATGTGCATCTATCAGTTCACCCGCTCATGTGAAGCAAGGCACACTGGTTGTAGCTACAGAACCCCACTTTGAACATGGATACGAGAACATATTCCAGTATGATTTTACAAGGGAGAAAGGAAGTGTGTGCGAAGCTCTATTCTAGAACGCCTGATCGACCCTGAACATGATTTTAAGATCATCTATCGAATCCATTGCTGACTCCTCACGTTTTCTTCGTTCTAAATTTCTAAAGACAGCGAAGGCTTTGACCGTTTCATGAATTTAAGCCAGACCTTTGTGTACAAAAGAAGTATGTACAATCCCTACTTTTGCCTTGGCCGTAGAGGGATAGACATTTGTTTATTTATTTATTTAATCTATGTACCCTTCCCTCATTACTACGATTATCATTATTATTACTATTCTCACTTTGAATTGTTTCCACTTGTCCAACTTGTCATTCTAAATCCAAAAAAATATTTTACAATGTTGAATTCTATTTTAACAAATTTCACACCATGTTATGAAATGTTTTGTATTAGCCTACTAACCCTATAATTACTATACCCCTTCCCAACATCTATACATCTTATGAATTATTCTATATATATGACATTAATTGTTTTGACACTTGACATTTAACTATAATTGTAATCACAAGTTGAAAAATGTCAACGGCCCGGTTTCATTCCATCGGCCAATTAATAAATCGGTTAGTCAAATACCACTTCATGCAATTAAGAACACATAAATTAGCAAAGAGGTCTCTTCCCGTAATTTCGCTTCAGAGCTGTATAGTTATTTAAGAAATTTAAATATGCAATGTAGATTTATTTTTATTTCTGATTATGGCTTGATTCCACACCATATTATTGGTACAAGTATGGAATTTTCAGCATATGATATCGGTAGCCCGAATTTTTCAGGCCGACCAATTGATATCAGGTGTGTGTCGGTCGGGGATTGAACCCCGGACCATGTGCATGGTCGGCGATCGTCCTGACCGACGCACAGAGGTGAAAGGTTGTTGTCAGTTAGTAACAAAGTAAATCAAAGTTTAACAACTATGTTTGAAAAATGCAGAATAATCTTGCGCAATCAAGATGGTTGACAACTAATTAGCTGAGTGATGGCTAATCATCAAGTACTGATTTGTAGGGATTTAATTTGTTACAAGTTTGATCATGAGTAGGTTAAGAGATCAGATACTCGCCGATGACATTGGCTGACGATCGCGCTATATGTATCGTGAATTGGCAGAAGTTGGAATTCATGGGCTTTTGGATCGGGTAACAGTAGCTGAATGGTCTACAAACTCTTCTTCTGGATTCGAGCCTTAGTGGACGTGTACTACTGAAGAGTCTCAGGCCAGAACGAAACAGCTGTCTAGTACTCTGTGGTTTTCTATGACGAATATCATCGTTTGGAAATAGTTGATACGAAACAAGAGGAAATAGGATTGAAAATGAGTCACCAGGCCATAAAACAGACTGCATAGAGCTGATTAAAAAGCTATTCAAGAAAACAAAAAGGAGGAAGTTTTAGTACTAAGGCCATGATAGTAAAAGAGGCTGGATGAAACGCTTCTGAACACAAAGTCCAGCTTTCTCCTTGTGAATTGTTTAGATTTCGGCTGCATGAAGAAGATGTAGGTGAAATCCTTTCATCAAATGACATGTTAGTACTTTACATTTGACTCTGAAAAACAAAAGATCAGCAACAGAGATCTCTGGGAGCGAACCAACCAGGAACCGATTGTAAGACAAATAGGCAGGAGGAAATGGAGATGGATTGGCCATACTCTGAGGAAACCATCAAGTGACATCACTAGACAAGCCATTGCTCGAGTGGAACCCGAAAGGGAAGCGGCGAGTTGGTCGTCGTTGCGAGGGTGACTTGGAGGAGGTCATGTGAAGAGGAGATGAAAACGTGTGGGCAGACTTGGAGCCAGGTGAAGACTCTAGAAGAGAACCGAACGCAATGGAGACGCACGGCTGAAGCCCTATGTTCCTGTAGGAATTAAAGGAAACAATAATAATAATTTGACTCTGAAAGAAGTCTCTGCTGCTACTGCATGACTAGGAGTAATAATATGCTCCATAAATTCAGCAGCTGACATTCTCTTTTTGACAACAGTACTGCTAGGTGTTCATGTGCTCATCTAGAGGATGTCCTGCTAGTACACTCTATGGGCTTAGCTTCACAGGAGCAAGTGAACTGGCAAATTATATTCTTTATATGGTTGTATCTATACAGTTGTAAATAGGCATTCAGTGTTATGATTCAATGGTTCCAGACTCTCTAGATAATATCCCTTCGTAATCATAAAAACTAATTTGTTTTGCACAGAAGCATCCTTTTTATCCTATACTACTGATTTTGGGTGTTTTGCTTATTGGTCGGTAATAACAAAATAAGTTTAAACTCTTCAATTTTATGTTTTCTATAGAGATATTACTTGAAAATGTTGTTTGTGTAGTAATCATAGTAAATGTTCGATTTTTCACGCCTCTTCTTCTTTTTCTTCTGCAGGCAAAACGTTTAAGCTTATGTTGAACATTAAATTTTTGTTTTTATGTTTCATTTTATTTTGAACAAAAATGAACTGATGTACACAACAACAATCTTGAAAAAAATCTTTGAAAATTTACTAGACATTTTAAATGTTATTTATCACACTACATACAGTCTTAGTCATATGTTACACTTTTAAAGTACAAACAGATAGATAGATAAAAGAGTATTCATACAAGTGTATTATTATTTTGACATGGTGTTGATATTCGTGAGAGTAAGCTGTTGCCATTCCGCCTCGTAATACCAATAGTAATAATAGAAATAACCTGTTGATGGGAGACGAACTAGTGTCATGTGTCTATTCCTTTGTTTACTACCGATCGCCTGCACCCATCTAATAACAACAATCCTGAGAGTATCGTGATGGCGAACCGCCCAGCATGGTGGCCACATTACAAATCTGACTGATAGAATTCAGTCTGCAGTAAACAAAGGACTAAACACATGACACTAGTTAGTGTCTTATCAAAAGTATCAATTACAGTCGGTGGTACAGTGGTTAGGACTCTCACCGACCATGCACATGGTCAGGGGTTCGATCCCCTGCCGGCGCACACCCGATATCTATGGTCGGCCTGTATATTTGGGCTACCGATATCCATGCTGAAAATTCCACACTTGTATTGAAAATACGGTGTGGAATCAAGCTGTATATCAAAATAAAAAAAATAAATACAGGAGATCAATCGCAAGCCTGAATAGCTCAGTGGTAACGTCTCTGACTGCAGGCGGGTGACTGGGTGACACAGGTTAGAATCTCAGAAGGGAGAAGAGTTCCTTCAAGACTGCAGAAACGCCTTGCTGACTGGTGAGTGTCAACTAGCACGAAACCTAGGTCCAATACTTCCTGCCAATTGCCTCCAACTATCTAATAACAATAGAAATAACCGTTGAAATTCGTATATTCAAAGTTAATCTTTGTCATATGGGTAAAATAAAGGTTATACACTAGAAATAAGTAATTAATTAATGTTAATTCTTATGAAATATACTACTGCTAATGATATTGCTAATTTTATCTTAAAATCAGAATTTTTATGTCTTCCTTCTAGTCTAATTAAATAAATTGAAGGAATACATATACACATTTACACATACTTCTTCAAATTGATGTAAGCGTCTACATATGTATACACAAAATTGTTTGGGTATCAGGGGCAGAAATCTTCCAAAGTTAGATTACTGTCCAAAATCCAGATTTTATTAAACCCATAGGTAAAAATTAGGTTATAAT